TTTTTTTAATTTAATTTGGTTCACATACCTAAATCCGAGGGTATACTTGGCTTGACTACTGTCAAGAATTATTTTTTTTAAATAGAAAATCTCCCTTCAACCCTTAACTTTGAAATCACCCTTGTGCAGAAAAACATGTGAACAGGGTAATTTCAGTAATAAACGGAAACCAAGGCAGCCAGAACCAAAATTTTAAAAGAAAAAACTGTTTAAAAAAAGTTGGGGGGTGGGATGATATTCTTGCGCCTCCACCCCCTATTCTTATCTCAGTGTTTAAGATTAATTTGCCTTTAACTCCAATTACTTTAACAGTTTTTTTTTAAAGTTCTTAATCTATTACCGACAACGTTTCTGTACATGTGTTGACTTCCAAGCTTCAAATGCCCAAGGATTATTTTCTTTACGTTTTAATTTTAGACTACAAGCTTTGCATGACCGACTTAATGGCTCGCAACTAAGAATTTTACCTGTGTTGATTGATATTGCTGTAACAACTCCACCCTGTGAAGAAAACCAACGACGTTGCCAGCTACCATCAACTGATACTGCAGTGACAACAATATTTTAAGAAGATTGACAAATTTCTTTCACAGCATCAATCATTGTTTCTTTTATATTAGCAGAATCAGAGGCATATTTAACAATTTTGTTGTAATTATTTATAGTCAATATATATTTAATATATAATATTTAGTTATAATATATTTATAAATATTATAAATATATTATAAATTAGTCATAGTCATAGGTTTAGTAATGTTCATTAAAGATGTAAAAATTTTTAATCCTGAAAATCTCTGACCAAATGCACGCATTGAAAAAAACTATTCTATTATTTAAATCAAAAGTTTTATTTCCAGAACATGTCTTTGAAGTATAAAATTTCATTTTTTCATTGCAGTTAGAGCAGCAAATATTTAACATTGAGCTGAATCCTTTTTTTTAGGAAAAACTTTCTAAAAGATTTAATTTTGATTGTAAAAATTTTTTGCAACATAGTTGAATAATTACACCAGATAAAATTTCAATATCAACAATTCGATAACCAACGGTTTTAGTTTAATTATGCTGAGTTTTCTCAGTTTTCTCAAACTTTTTTTTGAGGATATAAATAAATTTGAACGTAGTCATAGTACTTAACTAGTCTGGAAACGCGGGTCGTTTTCTATAGATTTCGTAAAATAACTTGAGCTTTAAGGAGTGACCGGACTGAGAGTGCATCAAATGTTTTTAAAATGACTTTTTGAAGCGCAGACTTTGAAAATTTGAATGAATTCGATGCTGTTTTAGCTGCTATTGAGTTGCTATTTGTTGGAGACAAACCTCAATTTTAGTTCAATCATTAGACTACCTAATTTAATTTATCCTAACCAAAGTGAAGAAAGAATATCTATGTATTTGTTTTGCAAGAAACAATATATATAACAAGGTGAATCGTCGACTCAACGCCAAGCACAAGGACAAGATTACTGATAAACATTTAGTAAAGAATAAAAGAAACCAAGTATTGTTCTTCATTGCAATCTAGATTGCAGTAAAGCTTGCTTCAGATAAATGGTACTCTGCTATAAGCTGAATTTAAAAATTTAAAATCAAGTATAAAATAGTTCAAGTATTTCAAGAATTCATTACAGCTTAGTTCGTAGTAAAAATGTAACTAATTCATTTGATGGAAATGTTTAAATTTTTTACCGCTGATTCTACAAAATATTTTCTGAAAAAAATAATTTCTTTCATATTTTGAAGTAGCAAATCTTGTATTTGTTTATCTGACTGGTACCTCTTTTATCGATGATATTATAACGTTTAAGCATGTATCCAACTATATTACTAAACAAAACACTCTATTATGACTTAGTTGGAATGTTTTTGTAACCTCTAATTTTACAATTGGTTTTAGTTCTAACATGTCTAAGTTGTATCATGAGCAGTGTTTATCGTATTTGTTTGCTGCTAAGTATGCATAATTATCTAACATTTTAAATACAAGTTTTTAGATTTTACATTGCAAAAGATAACCTGAAAGCTTTCAAGATTTAAAAAAGTGAAACTAAATTGATATATAAAGAACATCAATTAAAAAAGACCTTCTATTTTGGAACAAGAACATTAAAGAGAAAGTGAGATGACTTGAACCTACTAAAATGGCTATTTTCATAGCCACATATTTTTTTAAAAAATTATCGGTATATAATTAGCTCCGAGAGTAGTACAATAAATGCTTCATATATATTTAATAGTTTTATGGTGTAGTAACTTTATAATAAAATAACAATACAAGATTGAATAATAAAAATAATATAATTGTCTTTTTAATTTTAAAATAATAATGACACTACTATTTTACATATATTTTACAAATATAAAAAAAAAAATTAGTTTTGAACAAATCTAATAACATTTTTTTTTTTAGCACGACTTAATACTATATTACTATTGCCCGTGTAGCTAAATACATTACATTTCCAGCTACTAAAAATATTTATTAGTTTTTTTATTTTGTTATTATTGAAGCCAAAATTTCAAAAGCAAAAGATTGGTTATCCTTGCAAGTACTACGTGATTGTTAGTGTCGAAAATAATTTTAAAATAAGCTATTCCATAATGTAATAAAATTTTTAATACAGTAAAAACTTATTACTTAGGCAGCAAGTTTAACACTTTTTAATAAGTATTTTGTCAAGTTTATATGCTCAAAAGTAAGTTCTTCATAGAATATATATGCAATATCGTTCCCAGTATAAACAGTACCATCCGTACATATATTTTTTGTTTACCAATGTTCTAAGTTGGATAAATCATACTTAAATTAGACAGTAACAAGTTGTCTTATTTTAATGTGGTGAATTAGGCATAAACGAATCTTTTAAAATACCTTTTCAACAACTTGCGATTTGCAGAAATATCATCGTAAGTTAAAAGCAACAACTTTTAAGAAATTTAATTTACAAATTTTGATTGTTTTCTAAACCAAAAGAAATGTTTGTCATGCAGTGGTGTCAGTTGTAAAAGTCAGCTAGATTATTCAAGTATATCAACATACACTGCAGCTGATTTTGAAACTAGATAATTAACATGAAATGTCTTATTTTAGATAAAGATAACCTTAGATTTGAAGGTATTTTTCTGCATTCGATAAAATAGATAATAAATTATAGCTTAAACCTAAAATCAAGATTTAAAATGAAATTCTGTAGCTTAATTTAATGCACTGTGATTTTTAAATAGAATTCTGTCATCTTCTTTTAATACACTACTTTCTTTTTAATTGAATAATGTTTGATTTATGTATGTTAGTGATGCAATATTTAGTAGCAGACTTTTGCATCATCTTTATTGCATCAAGTATAATTTTTTTATTTGCTGTTATATAAATTGCAATACAGCATAATGAAAACAAAAATAGATATACGAGCTTTTGAATTTTTGATTAAGAAGCTTTGATATACTAGTTATTTTTAAAGTATTTATTAAAATCTTAATTTTTTTTACTGAATAAGATTTTTACTTATTAATAAAGATAGAAAAACATTTTTGCACATTTATTGTTAATATGGCACTTGTGAAAAAGGTAGAAGTTCTACCGTAGGGTAGAATACGTGATATGGCCTTATAAGGTAAAATTTTCTACCTTCCACGGTAAAAAATCTTAAAAGGTAAATTTTTTTTCCCTTAAAGGTAGAAAATTATACAAATCATTATTCTTAATATAAATTAGGTAATAATTAAGTTATAGTTTTCTAAAGGTAGATAATTATGCTGTATTAAAGGTATACCGCATATCCTACTTTAAGATTAATTTCTAATTTTTTAGAGTGTTTTCCAGGAAAAAGTGCTTTTAAACTAAAATCTAAAATAATCTAAAATAATAAAATCGTACCTGATTTCTTCTTTTTTCCAGAAAAGATACCAACATAATGTAAAGAGTGATATATAAATTGTCAACTAATCCAGCTTAGTAAACTTTATATAGAATATAGATTTTATTAAGCTCTATTAGCTAACATCTTAAATAAATATCTTCTGAATCTGATACTAAGCATTTATACTCATAGACATCTATCAAGTTATACAGTCGATAAAATGTTTGCATCTATAACATATATATATATATATATATATATATATATCATATAACTTAAATGCTTATATGATATAAGCTATATGGTTTGAATATGCATACTTATACCACTACAAACTCTGTCATAACTACATACATCAACAGTTGATGTCTTTATTTTAAGCTATATTCATCATTTTTATTTAGAATACGAAATATATATGCAATCCAAAGTAATAAATTGAAACTGAATAACCAAAATAAACACAATTTGCTCCTGCTATATCAATATTTACCCCAAAATATATCTAACTTTACTATAGCGAAATACAATGTTTACAAGTTGACGCACTCTAAAGTAGGCTAAGCACTAGTAGAGAGGAACTTAAGTGTTTTTAAAAAACGGCCCGCGTTTCCAGACTATTTATATACTATGACTATGATTTGAAGGAGTGTTAAAAGAAATATCGTCATTTTAATAACTAATAACAGGAGCAACTGATAAAGTTGAATTGATTGGCAGAGTTTAGTGTATCTATTTCCATGAAATTTTCTGGATTATTTACTTTGAATACTTTGTTTGACTCTTTAAATCATGTTTAACCATTGTTAAAAAAGTTTATTAAATAACAAAAAAAAAAAAAAAAAAAAATAGCTTGCAATTCTGATTAAAAACCTGTTGCTATGCGTGTTGCTAGGCAGATTAAATTTACCCAGTTAAAGAAATTGACTTATATCTCAAGAACTAAATCTCAATTTGAGAAATGGTTTTCAAACTCGAGTTCAGCGATAAATTTCGTGTCAGATTTACACAAAATATATTTTTTTGATTTTTTAAAGATATTTGAGGCACCTTAAGGTCGTTTATTATCTTGATTTAACTTTACATCTTAATGACCTTCTAACCTTACTTTAGTCTGATAATAAGTAAAGAACACGCTGACTCCAACTATTCATCTAGCATAAAAAACAATCTTCCACAAAAAATAGTTTGGCATATAATATATAAAAATATTATAAATATATTTTAAATAGCACCTTAGTTTTCTAAAACCTAATTTATTTTTACGCGATAACTAATAGAAAGAATATAAGTCAGTTTCAAGGGAGTTAACTAAATCTTTTGTTGACACCTTTTTTCCTATCATATCTTCAACCATTTGATGAGGAGGTCTACCGCCTCCATGCCTCAACATTGTCTCTCTATATTTTTCGCCAGTAACCCGTGATAACGGATTATGTTCAAAACAGCTGAACCAAATTTGAGAAGCAATAGCTTTAGACCAAACATATGCGTAATATTTTGCACCGTAACTATGGAAATGACTAAAGCGAAGATGCCATGCAGCGCCTAATACAAATAAATTAAAGATAGAAAAAAATTATAAAGAAACAAAAACTTTTAAAAAATTACATTATTATAAAGTAAATCTAAAAGGTCGATGATTAAATTAGGTTTAAACGTTTTAACTGAACTTTTTAGTTTTAATAAAAAAAAAATATTAAAAAAGTTTATTAGAGGACACCTAAAGTAAACTCTAATAATTTCATATTGAGTACATATATATATATATATATATATATATATATATATATATATATATATATATATATATATATATATATATATACAAATATATATATATATATTTATATATATATATATATATATATATATATATATATATATATATATATATATATATATTATATATATACATACACATACATACACATACATACATACATACATACATACATACATACATACATACATACATATATATATATATATATATATATATATATATATATATATATATATATATATATATATATATATACATACATATACATACATATATATATATATATATATATATATATATATATATATATATATATATATATATATATATATATACATACATATACATACATATATATATATATATATATATATATATATATATATATATATATATATATATATACATACATATACATACATATATATATATATATATATATATATATATATATATACATACATATACATACATATATATATATATATATATATATATATATATATATATATATATATATATATATATATATATATATGTATATATATATATATATATATATATGTATATATATATATATATATATATATATATATATATATATATATATATGTATATATATATATATATATATATATATATATATATATATATATTTATGTATGTATGTATGTATGTATGTATGTATGTATGTATGTATGTGTATGTATATATATATATATATATATATATATATATATATATATATATACATACATACATACATACATACATACATACATATATATATATATATATATATATATATATATATATATATATATATATATATATATATAATATTTTCATAGCGCGATGATGCATGTCAAGAATATTAAAAAAAATCAAAAATTTATTGGTAGTAGGAATAACACTGGCGCTAAATAGGGTACTGGAGAAAAATTTTTTTTTTTGTAAAATCTTGTTTTAAGTGTTCGACTGTTATTTCTTGAAACCTGTCTGTAATTTACCCTTAGCGCTCTTTGCCCTAATCAGCCTTGTCACAACTGAAAACCTAACCTCGTCTAAACAGATAAAATTCCTATAATTGTTTAAAACTTTAAGTGTTTGGGAACACGCTGCATAATCAGCTCGCTTCTCAACGGTTATTAGGCGGTTCCGACACTATTTCACCTTGAAAAATTAACTAATGTTATTTTTTTCAAGGTGAAATAGAATTGAGTCCGCATAATAGTACTATTTAAAACTTTAATTTGTTGGATTAATCTATTCAATATGTTCTTTCTAGGTGATATTTTTATCAGCATGAGTGATCAGGGTTTCTTTAATTTCCATCGTCAATTTAGAACGCCTATACTCCTATTTGACACGGGGTGTCTCGTCTGTCTACATGAGATGTTTGGATATGGCATTGTTTCAACAAGCTCGACCGTGTCAATTTGGTGGGTAATGATGAAATTGGCATCGAAATTTTTTTCATGCAAACTACTTCTGCTGTGGTTAATTAATTCATTGTGTCTGATTCTTGTTGCATGGATTGGTTTCTGCTCATACTTATAAAAATTTTCATGTAATTGATTGCAACAATAATACATTTGATTGTAATAGATATTTATACGGTAAACCTGATATATATATATATATATATATATATATATATATATATATATATATATATATATATATATATATATATATATATATATATATATGTATATATATATATATATATATATATATATATATATATATATATATATATATATATATATATATATATATATATATATATATATATATATATATATATATATATATATATATATACAGTGGTGGCCAAAAGTCCTGGAACATCATATTTTATGTTATGAAATCAATATATTTGTGTGAAAAACAATTTATTAGTAAATTTTTATATTTTTTTCAATAAAATAAGTGTTTATAACAATTTTAAAGATGATAGGTACATGCACATACATGATAAAAGTTCAATATTTAATGGAAGCATAGTTATTGTCAATTACCATTTGGATACGTTTTGGCATGTTGTTAACAAGTTTTGTACAATAGTCTGGTGTAATTTCATGGATCCACACTGATTTGATTGCTTCAACTAAATCATTATAGGATCTAGGCTTTTTGGCAGCAACTTTTACATTCATAATATGCCAACAATTTTTAATAACATTAAGATCTGGTGATGACCCAGGCCAATTTTCAAGGGTTTGAATTCCTTCATCAGCAAACCACTTCTTTACAATTTTGGCTGTGTGGCACGGTGCACCATCCTGTTGGAAATAAGTGCAGTTCAAGATCTGCATGAAAGGTGGCAACTTCTCCTTCATAACATCCAAATAGACTTTGCTGTTTATTGTGGTATTCTTGGGCATTATCCATAATGGCCCACGTCCTTTGGCAGAAATAGCACCCCAAACCATACAAGACACAGGAGCCTTGACACTGCTAACTGTATATTTTGGCATATGTCTACAGTTTTTTGGTCTTCTTACAAAGTTGTTTGTAACATTAAATTGTTTAATACATGTTTCATCAGAAAAAAGAACTTTAGACCATTTTTCTCCAGTCCAATTTTTGTAGCGCTGACAAAATGTTATTCGATCTTTTAGGTTTTTTAATGATAAAAAAGGTTTTTTTGCTGGCTTGCATGCCTTCATTTTGAAATCAACCAAAAGCCTTCTTCTAACTGTTCGGTCACTTACTTTTTTCTCAATAAAGATTTCTGTTGAAACCTCGTGTGCAGATAGCCGTGGATTTGCATGGCTGATCCGGCCAATAAGTTTGTCAGTTCTTGAGGTGGTTGCTCTGGGCCTGCCTGATCTCATCTTTGAAGTAAAATTTAATTGGGGCTCTTCTTTATGTCTTTTTAAAGTTCTACTTACAGTTGATAATGAACAACCAAGCTTTTTAGATATTTTTCTTTGAACTAAACCTTGTTCATATAATGCAGCAATAATTCCTCTTTTTTTAGGTGAAAGTTCTGGCATAATATAGCTGATAAATTGTTTATGAATAATAAAAAACGATAATAAATTGCGCAATATACAAATATGTAATTATAAACATATTGCTATGTAAAAACAAAAGCATCAAACCTTCAAAATTTATACTTTAGATCAAAAATAAATTTTTTTGGTCGTTAAATGTTTTGTTCCAAGACTTTTGGCCACCACTGTATATATATATATAGATATATATATATATATATCTATATATATATATATATATATATATATATATAATATATATATATATATATATATATATATATATATATATATATATATATATATATATATATATATATATATATATATATATATATATACTCTAGGGTGATTCAGATTGTAATAGAAAAAAAAAATGTCACAAAAAACATTCTCCTCAAGGTTGCCTGTGTTCCTTTATCACCTAGGATCATGTGTACCAAAAATTAGACTAAAAGAAGCAATTTTAGGGGTTGCCATGTTTTATAAGATGAATTAACCATTGGTAAAATTTTGTGATTTTCTCAAATTTCGCAAATTTGTTTTTTCATTGTTTATTTATTTATAATTTAGAAATTGATAATATGGCAACCACTAGATCTTCTGCTGAGGTGTGGCTTGTTGGTAAACCTACACAAACTCTGTCGACTGCCAGACTTCCTTCAAGAGGGGATGTTCTTCGGAGGTTGCTCTTCCATCATATAGAAGAGAAACAAGAAGTGAAAAAAAGTATTCGGGCAACAATTGAAGCAGTTCTTGTTATATGGGAGAGAGGAAAAATTCCAACTCAAAGAATTGACAATGCGGAAAGAAAGTTAAAAAAACTTTATGACGAATATCTGCTGCTGAAAAAACACCGAGGATCAAAATTGGACAGCTGTCAAATGAAAGAAGGAATTTTCCACGCTGACCTTGAAGAACTTTTTGATATTTCAACCAAGAATGCATCAGAAGTTATGAAAAACGATGAAGATAAAGCATTTTTACGTCAGCAGCAAGAAGATCCATTAAGTATGTAGTATGGCAGAAATTGATCGGAATTTAACAACTAGGGAGGCACGGAAACGAGTCCGAGAAACTAAAATGGAATTGAGGCGTCAAAGAAGTCAAGCAGAACTGATGGAAAAAACAGAACTCATTTCTTCTTCATCAGCAGTTGACATTGTGAGTGAAAGTAGCTCTAGTTCCTCGGATGATGATGTATATCAGACTCCTTCCGCTTCCAGCACACTGAGCACAAGTGGTTCAACGAAAAAGAAGATGAAAGTTCTAACAAATAATGTTGTATCATCTCTTGATCGTGTTAATATTTCTGATCGCCGTGCACTCTTCGTGGTTGGAACAGTGTCTCAGGCTCTTGGTCACTCGGTAAAAGATTTATCATTGTCGTACAGCACAATCCGCAGAAAAAGGCGATCTGTTCGTGAAGCGGTGACTACAGCTGACAAGGTTGATTTCTCTCCTGATGATCCACTTCTTCTGCATTGGGATGAAAAGCTCTTACCTGATATCACTGGTGGTCAAAAAAAAGTGGATAGAATTGCCATCCTTGTGACTGGTGGTGGGGTGGAAAAATTGCTGGGCGTTCCAAAGATTGATCGAGGTACAGGTGAGCAACAGGCTGATGCTTGCATGAAGGCTCTTAAAGACTGGAAATTGAAAGAACTTGTTCGGGGACTGGTTTTTGACACTACTTCATCTAACACTGGGTTGAACATTGGTGCCTGCACAATAATGGAGCAGAATCTTGACCGTAA